AGGAGGAGAAGGAGGAGGAAATATTCGATAATTATCCGAACAGTACCAATTGCTTCCCTGTTTCCTAAATATTGTGGACCATTCTCTGGCTGTCTCCTCAGTAAGACAAAAACAAACAGAGAAAAACAAAGAAACCAAAAAAACGTATTGCTTCTGCTCTGACTACACCCCCACCCCCCGCTCTCCACACACTCACACTTTCCCCTTGGGAAGGTCTCGTTCACAAGCTAGATTTATTGATTAGCGATAGACTGGGTCTTATTCGTGTTAAGTAAATAGAGTTGCACGTTGTACATTGTAAATAGAGTTGATGCCTTATGCAATGTTTTGAATTATAATGATGTAAATAATCGCACTGAATTTGCGGCTAAGATCGCTTAGTTTTAACATTGCTCATTAGCACATTATAAAGTTTTAGATTGTCTAGTTACTGTTTATTGACGCATTAAAAACGATTCTGTATTTTTAGCTTTCGGTGGTTTTTACCAGTATTTTTACAGCTTAGGTATCCCTAAATTATTTTATGTTCATATTGAAATCAAGCTATTGAGATTGAGATTGATCATATTGAGATTGAAGCGGCTTTTTTACATCATGGATTTTCATGGCGGTGTTTCAATTTTGTGACGTTGCTAAGGTGATTTATGAGGTCGTAATCGACACGATACCACTATTAAATTAACGCATTGCATAACATAAAATTTTCTTTGTCGTGGATTAAACTCTCATGGAGATAACCATGGCGAGAGAGGTTCTCTTTCGCAACCCCACGAACTTTAGTTAAGCTCAGACGAAATATAACGAACATGCAGAAGTTGATTGTTGGTACTAGAGGTCTCCACTGGGATGTTCTCCCTTTCCGTGTTTCTTGTTATTCTCCCTTTTCTTTTCTGTCGAGCCAGTTCCAAAAGCTCTTTTCTATGTTTCTTTCTCAGCATTTCATAAATCTTTTGAAGCGAATGACGGAAGTCCTCAACCAAGCTTTCCAGCTGTCTTCGGGTTTTCTCACGTTCTCTCACGTTGACACCTACAAAAGTAGTAATTTCCGCCACGTTAAAGGAGCTTTCTGACGAGTCTTCGGTTTTGTATTCTGAGGCGGAAATGGGATTTTAGGGAAGGGAGTTCAAGATACCGTAGGGGGTTACGGGGCATCCTTTCCCGAAAATGTTTAAAATTGAGGCCAAGTCAGCGTGTTATAATGTCTCATTTTTTTTTAATTTAGGGGGCTTGACAGAACCCCCCTAGATCCGCCCCGGGTATTGCTAAAAATCCCGTCTAATCAAGAGAGTTGATCTAACATGGCTGTTGTTTGACATCATCCTCTTTTCCACCCGTTGAAGGGGAGGGATTCTAACATCGGCAGATGAAGTTTTAGGTGACAGTTTTATATCTTGATATCCACCCAAAAACTACTAAACTCCTACATAAAACTTTATTAGACCAGAAAAAAGTTGCACTTCGTTTCATGCTGGCGGCCATATTAGACTAAGATTGTCTTTTTTTTTTGACATCATCCCCTTTTGAATCCGTGAAAGAGATGGATTGCTAATATCGCGATATGAAATTGCAAGCGACAGTAGACTGTCTTAATATCAAAACAGAAACTTGCAAGGTGTTAAGAAAAACGTTATTACACCTGAGAAGTTGGACTTCGTTTCAAGATGGCGGCTATGTTAGTCTAACATGCCGATGTTTGCATCATCGTCTTTTCCAACGGTTGAAGAGATGGGATTATAACATCGAGAGATGAAGGTTTAGGTGACAGTTTTATAACTTGATATTCACACAAAAACACTATGAAGCCACTACATAAAAAGTTATTATACCAGAAAAGTTGCACTTCGCTTCATGCCGGCGGCCATATTAGAATAATATAGCCCTTGTTTGACATCATCCCCTTTTCAACCCGCGAAAGAGATGGGATTCTAACATCGAGAGATAAAGTTCCAGGCGAGAGTAGACTGTCTTGAGGTAAAGATAAGAAGTAGGAAGGTGTTAAGAAAAAACGTCATTAGACATGAGATGTTGGACTTTACTTCATGATGGCGGCCATATTAGACTAACATGGCCGATGTTTCACATCATCCCCTTTTCCACCCGATGAAAAGATGGGATTCTAACATCGAGAGATGAAGTATTAGGTGACAGTTTTATCTTTTGATATTCACACAAGAAACTATGAAACCACTACATAAAAAGTTGTTCGACGAGAAAAGTGGCACTTCGTTCCGAGATTGTGGCCATATTAGACTAACGTGGCCGCTGTTTGACATCATCCTCTTTTCAACCCGTGAAAGAGATGAGATTTTATATCGAGAGATGCAGTTCCATGTGACCGTAGACTGTCTTGATATGACGACAAAAACTAGTAAGGTCCTACATTAAAAAATTCTAGATCTCAAAGGTTGCACTAGGTTTCATGATGGCGGAACATAACATGACATAAGTAATACATGGGCGAAGTTTGACATCATACTCCGTTTGACTCGTCGAAGAGATGGGATGCTAATCAAGAAAGATAGAGTTCCTAGCTATGGACGGTAATATTATCCTGATATTCAGACAAAAACTAGTAAAGTCCTACATAAAAAGCTATTAGACCCCAAAGATTCCACTTGGTTTCAAGATGGCGGCCGCGTCAGATAATCATGGCCGATTTTTTACATCATACTCTTTTCGACCCGAATTGAATAACGCCTAGCTATCAGAATATAGAAAGTTTTGTTTTAAATAATGGCTGGGCAAGTAATTTCTTTGCACTTGAAAGAGGTGCCAGAAAAGGCTGCCCCCTTTCCCCTTACATCTTTTTGCTCTGTGTAGAAATATTAGCGGAAAGAATTAGGACAAACAAAGATATAAAGGGAATTTCTGTCAAAGGAAACGAAAGTAATATTAGCCAATATGCCGACGACACCACACTTATCCTTAATGACTCGGAAAAATCTCCTACGGTCGCTCTGCATGATTTAGAACCGTTTAGCACTATACATGTATCTGGCCTGAAACTCAATAACAAGAAAACAGAGGCACTTTGGATTGGCTCTTACACTGGCCGTGAAGATCAGCTCAGTCCCGAAAAGAATTTAAAATGGGTCAAAGACAAAGTAAAGTCTTTAGGTGTGTGGATATCAACAAACCCAACAATAAGTATAAATACAAATTTCAGTGAAAAATTAGAAACGGGTGGGAGTTGTTTAAACTGCTGGGAATACCGCCGCCTAACCCTCCTGGGAAAAATTGTTGCGCTTAAAAGCCTAATCGCTTCACAGCTTGTATATATGCTCTCTCCTTAAAATGTTTCTTCGCTTCACTTTTACAAAACCGGATTCGGTTTTAACCCGTGGGGAGCCAGTTTCAGGTTGGAAGCTCAAGATACTTATTTTGAGGCGCTTATATCATTTGAACCTAAAATTAAAAATGGGGTATGCAAATTGTATTGTGGAACTTTTTCTGAAATAAATTTCTGGGAACAAGGAAATGATTACGCAAAATTATCAGAGACTCACTTCTGAAAACGTTACTTTTCCACAAAGTTCCAAAAGCAATAAATTAAACAGCAGTAAGGCTCAACTGAATCACCACCCGCTGAGGCTGATAGCATTCAAGACCTTGTCAATCCTCTGAGGGTTATACTCCCTGCTAGGTCACCGAAAATGGTCGCCTCTGTCAATAACCTCCTACTCTTATGTCCTAGTGATTTACAGGACAGGAGACGAAGACACTCAGGGCGGATGACATTGCCACATGACGTCATCGAGCAAAGAAACGCAAAAAGATTCGATAATACTGATTACTGTTAATAACTTTGCTGTTAGATTTAAATGTAAGAATTATTACAAAAGGAAAATACCAACATTTTATGTGTGTCCTTCTTTTGAGGAATAGCACTTGATACAGCATTCCACAGACCAAGAACAGGCCCAACGCTCCCAGACTGGCATACAAGATGTGCTGGAAGAATGGACTGCTTGGATCGAAGAACAGAGATTCCTTTGATTCCACTTCCGCTGGACCCTGTTCAAAAATATAAATTGTTTGGCATGGCAAGTTCTCTCTTTAGGTAAAGTCTCCGTATGAGCCAGGTGGCCCATCAGGCCGAAGCTTATCTCCGGTTTAAGTAGTATAAATCGACTGGGAGTATTTCTACTCCCTCCCGCC